ATTTCTTGTCTTAGTACAGAGATCCCAAGCCTTTAGATTCCGAGCCTCTCATGATCCTTAATCTCTTGCAAGAAGTGATGAACATTTCCCACGGGACGTCCCCAACTAGCATCCAGTCACCATCTTTATCTTCATAAGTCGGTTCATATTCAGATCCTTTATAGCCTTCGCGTTCCGAGTACACGCCTATAAAAACACACCATAAAAAATAAATAAATAAGAACAACACTGGAGAAAATATTCAATCACTAAACAACCTCTTAAAGATTTTGTACGAGACAAATCTTTGTTAAATGAAATGTCATACTTTTGTTTATATTATTTTGCAGACTATGAAATTTCAATTTGAAAGTATGTTGAATAAATATAATTTTTTTTTTAACTGTTAGGTCTGATAAACTTCATACCTATTGTGCACTTGAACATGCTCTCCAAGGCCTTGAGGAGATCAGAGTAATTGTTGTAGAACTTGAGATCGATTTTCCTTAAGTATGGAGCTCCATCCATACTCACTTTAACGAAAAATCCAGGCCCATTTTCAGGCTCGGGCTTTTTCTGTTGCTGGATGACATTTTTCCGGTAAGATCTAACCGGCGGCCAACCGACCACTTGTGCCCTGATTTACAAATACAAATTTCAAATTAGTAAATTTTATATATAAATCAATAAGTGAGGCAAATTAGATTAATTGAAAACTTACTTAGGAGCTTGTGCAACACATTCTTGCTTTTCACTAGAATCATCGAATTCCGAACAAGTTCTCTTGTTGTTCTTGAGCGGCTGAGAAGATGAAGATGATTGTGTGTCAGGCTCATCCGAACCGGGCAGGCCCAATCTTAGCTCGGTTGCCTTGAGATTCAAATCGTTCTTGAAAATCGGTGCTTCCATTTTCATCTACTTTCACAAATTGATGAATAAAATAAATTCCTTCCTTTCTCCTCTTTAAGATGATGTATGTATGAGATGAATATTGAAAGAGATTCAAAGGAGAAAACTCTTTGTTATTATGTGTTTGCCCTAAAAGCTTTTGACCGAGTCGTTGAATAGGTTTTTTTTGTGAGAAAATTGAGCCAATGGGGAAGTTTTATAAGGAGTGGGTGTTTTAGAGGAAGGAGGGACAGCAAATCCGGGCAACTTATTCCCCGTGTGCATGAATTTCGTCGCGTATGGGCGCGTGGGGACCACGCGTCTTCTATCCACCAAATTGAGTGGTCTATGAGGGTTTGCACGAGTTGGGCTATGGTAGACATAATGAATAATTTGTTCTAATTCCACTAGAAATTTTTTCAACGAGTTTCAAAGGTTATGATTGAGTTAATTTTTGACTGTTAGTCAAATTTAAATACCTTCATGTAGCTATTTTTTTCTTTTCGATCAAATTAGGGTAGGTTAGTATAATATTAGAATTTGATTGAAAAATGGTTGCTAATTCACAACAAATATGGGAGAAATTTGTTTTTATTCCTTGGGTTCCTGATTCGAATAATTCTTTTTCAAAATTAAATAAATACTGACCTTGAATTTAGTTAGACAGCACAAATATTTCAGATGATCTCGACTCTCACAAATAATGCATTTTGAATTGACCATTTTGACAAATGACCGATCAAAGAGAATAATTATTTAATTTCTCACTTCGTTCCAAGCTAAACTATGGTTTAAACCATTATCTTATTACAAGACTATTTTTCATGTTTGAATAATCTTTTCACTTACATAGAAGACAAAAATTTAAAACAGATCGTTAATTCTAATCCAACTGCAATTTAAGTATTACATTTCAATTTATGCATTGAAATAAAATTTATTCCCTTATATTTTTGCCTATTTTCATATAGTGACCGTACACGTTTATTTTCCACCATTCAACTTTTTAATTCTATTTTCAAAATTTTAAAAAGTCATTTTGTAAATTAGCGGAAAAGAAATATCTAAATTGCATATATGGTGTTCAAAATGCCGATCAAGAGAGAACGTGCGCGCGTGTGGGGAACGCCTCGATAGGTATTAGGGACTCGGCGAGACGTGGGGACAAGATTTCTGTAATAAAGATGCCTTTGTCGGGCAAATGAAGGACAAAAGTCTTTAAACTCTACTTTGATTTGGTCTATAGGGACAAAACGCCAACCGCCGTTAATGAAGGCGGTGGGACCCACGCATAATCCACGGCTTGTAGGTGTTGGTGAATCTCGAGCGTTGGATTGTCAAATTCTTGTGTTTTCCAGTCAATCAATCCTATTATGATTTGATTATACACCTCATTTTATGCGTGAAACTGTAATAATTATTTTATTTTCTCAAATCTTTTGTGGGAAAATATGTCAAATTTTTTGAAAGACTTTCGGGGTTACGTAATCTAATACATTTGACGTTTTTATTCTGACACTTTATTTAGAATTAATTAATCTATTTATCAACTATTAATTTATTAAATTACATTATGGCTAGATCCAAATCCTTGATTTGTTAATATTATAATCAAAATATTCACAAAATTCTACAATCTGTAAGCAATTACAGGCATGTAGTATGAGTTTTTGACATATTAAGGTAAAATTGGTAAGATATTACAAAGTCCAATATATTGACAAATTTTATAAAGTAGGATATTTTTTATAGATTTCGTAAGCATGCTTTTCAAACAGAAAACTTGCCCTTTGAACTAAATTCAACCAATTAAAGATTAGCCTAATCTTTTGTCTTGTAGATATAAAAAATGATGCCAAATTAAATCCACTAATGAAAAACACTAATTTTGTCTTTGCTTGTTTTTTTTTTATTAATTTAAAGAAAGTTGAATTTTTATTTTAGATTGGGATCATATACACTTTCTACTCAATTATGTTAATTCACTCATACTTTTTAGTATAATTTGTATATTATAAATAAATTATAATTGAACTATTATCTATAAAAATAATGTTAATCTAAACTTATTTTTATAATTATCCATCATTGTTTTGCTATTTAATAATCCCATTTATTATTTTTTATTTAAAATATAAATAATAAAATGAAATTGACCGAGATGGATTCTAAAGTAAATATTAATTGCTTGCACCCTCTAGGAAAAACAAAGTTGAAAAAGAAAATTAAAGAAGAAGAGAGGACATCGAAGCATGTGAAGGCCGGGCCCAGATTTGTCGGCTATTAAGTTGGGCTGGACATGTGGATTTCGATTGCTGGGGCCCAATTAAAAAATAACGATGGGGCCCACCGTACGCTATGTGTCAAAGGGGCATGACCATGTGAGTGGCATGTGATGTGAAAAGTGAAAACTCAAATTTGCAAACATTTTTAACAAAATTATATGAATTTCCATCCAGATATTATAATTAGTCAGATTCTTTTTCTTCATTTTTTTTAATAATTAATTGTTTGTTTTCAGTTGACTTATAATTAGAATAATTAGAAATAGCACATAATGAAATTTCATGTGATCAAGACATTGTGTCGCAAAATGTCTATCCAGAATAAACTGAGCCGGTCGATTTTGTCGGAACGTCTTTTCATAATTTACATTTTGTTGGCCGAGAATTTTCATTAGTAATAATTATATCTTAATTATCAAATAGTGGAAATTTGGTTGCACTCTATGGCCTAGAGTTGAGAAAATTACAGAGATGAATCAATCACTTTTAGTAAACTTAAATACCAAATATATTTCGATCATTTATGTTGTTCTCGATTAATGAAACCGGCATTAATAAACATGCAATGCAATACGGACGATTATGCATTTCACAAAAATTTAAAACTATAAATGAATTCATGTCAAGATGAGCTTTTTTATTTCTTTTCATCGCATATATTTTATTTTACACAATATGGATTTTTATCAATTGATGTGAAAATAAATTAGCACAAAAAATGCTGATATTTTATCTATTAATTATGGAGTGATTAAAATAGCTAATTAAATCAGCATTATAATAATTAAATTCATGCAGCCGTATTGGTTTTCAGCCTTTACAAATTCAAATAGTAAAATGACAAAGTTGTCAAAAAATGCTAAAGTAATTGAAATATTTTATACAATTTTTTACCACATCTTGAATTTGTCCCAAATTACATGAATATAGCTTGCTAAAAGTAATGCACTGTGTTTAAACTCAAGTCCACATTCAAGTCATTCACCAATTATAATCAACTCAAGCCATTTAAACTAGCACAAAACAACCAAATAGACCCTCATATCATCATCACAAAATTCCACATACAAGTAACATGTACTTACACAAATCAATAATAACATGCTACGACATCAACTCAACAACTCAAGCACAAATATATCTCGCTCCAATAGGCCTCCCCAAACTTAGAGTTTGCACATAAGAGAACAAAATAGAAAGTAAAAGGAAAGAGTTCACCTTATCAAGAGAAGAAGTCGCGATAGTCGCACACCATTGGGTTGCCTCCTTACAAGCGCTTTTTTTTAGTGTCGTTGGCTCGACTTATTGCTCCGCTTTCTTCAAGCGGTCCATGGCGGCTTCATAGGTGGCCTCAAAGGAGGCATAAAACTTGCAGCTCCATTCTTATGAAAGATCCCCTCGTCCGGTGTCGGGTGCTTGACCGGATCTTTTCTTCTCGGGGGCAAATGATCATGGTAAAAGATTAGCCCGGGCTCATGGATAAGAGGAGAAATCTCTACTACCTCCAGGATGTAAGGCTCTTGGTTTTCAACATGCTCGGTTGCTGGTTGTTTGAACTCGGATAGAAGAGATTGATTTTCAGTCATTCTCGGGACAATCGGCGAAGCTTTTACGTCATTTTCACCTTCGAGTAAACTGTTATCGGGGGCCCCGATAGCAGTAGTAAATGCTACCAGGTTTTTATCGGGGGGGCCGGTAACAGCGAAAATTTGCTCCTCATCGCCTTCTTCTTCATTCTCTTCGTCGCTCGGGTCATCATTGGGCTTAGAAACATGATTTTCCAGCACCTCAAGCTCCATCTCTCTACTCATCTCAAGGTCTCCGAAATCACTTTGGCTCAGTTCGGCTTGAGATAATAGCCGACTCTTGGCTCGGGCATTCAATTCGCTCAATAGATCACCAATCGTTTTGCTACTAGCCATCAAAGAATTTTGACACTCTTCAAGTAACTTCATCAACGATGGACTAGTCTCTTGTTCAAGCGACGGTTCTGAAAAATATTGTGAGCCTCCATAGTGGAATTGGGATTCGTCATGCTCATAAGTAGGCTCATACGGTCGAGAATATCGTGGATATTCATAGAATGAATTTCCACAATCTCCCCAACTGTAATGGCCCCTATTGAAATTTGAATACGCCCAATCGTCTAGTCGATACCAATCTCTCTCGGTAACTCTGCGTGCACCATACCTCTCGATCAAAAGTGGACAATCATCGGTGACGTGACGTGTGGTATGACATAGACGACATGGTTTCCTAAGAACTTGACGAACACTCTCAATGGCTTCTTGGATCATAGCCGACATCCTAGCCTCACGATGTTGGTCTCTTATTTCCCTCTTTTTCATTTCATAATATGAATCGTAAGCGTAAGCACATTCCGGGCTCCAATACGCATCCATTTATAACAAGTACCACCTGTAAAAGAAACCAAAAGGAAAAAGAAAAATAGGGGGATTAAAAGAGTCAAAGAAAAATAAAATAAAATAAAAACTAATCTGATTACCTAATTCAATCAATACTAAAAAAAATTACAACTCAATTGCGCCACTCCCCGGCAACGGCGCCAAAATATGACCGCGCGTCGCGACACGGCAAATTTAAATTTATAAGTTTTCCTCAACTAACCTCTACTAACTAGTAGTAGTGGCGAGTAAGGGTCGATCCCACGAGGAGCAGGAATTAAATCGTGATAATTTCGTATTAATTGAACTAAACTAAGAAAGCAATAAAGGTGGGGGGGATTGGTTTAATAAAAATAAAAATAAAAATAATAAAATAAAATAAAAATTAAATAAAATGAGAGAAGTCCAGTTTTTCGGTTCAGTTATCACCCAATCTAAATCTACCGTTAATTAATTTCGACGCTTTCTTTAAATTGCTAATGAATTACCGACCCTAGCTAACAACAAGCTCTGTTAACCGAATTTTCCCTTACTGAATATTTAATCGAAATAAGCTCTTCGACTAAACCTAACTAGTGGACAACCTAGAATAAGCTCTCTAGATTTAATTCACTAGCAGCTTTAATTCCTAGGAAAATAGATCAGTCTAAGCAACGGACGCAAAAGCTCGGACCGTTTAACTTATGCTCAGGTTACCCTAGAGATGCACGACCCCTAGTTTACTACTAACGAAACGAGACAATAACAATTACGGATTAAAGTCTCGAATCTAGCAATTAAACTATGAATATTCAACCTAGCTGGCCAAACCAAATCAAACACCATAATTCATAAACATTAAACACGGATAGCATGAATCAACTCATCAACAAAAATAAATACGACGTCTCGATTAATCAACGATAAAAATAAATCCTTCAATCCATAGACAAATCAAAGTTAGGGTTCAAACATCCCCTCAAACTGGATAAAAATACTAGCCTAACATAGTAATAAAAAAAAATAAAAAGATAAAAGAGAGAATAAAATTCTCCCTCGTGTGCGGGTGCGGCTTCCCTCCGCGTGTAGGCTTCTCTCCTTTTCTCTCTGTCCGTGTATGGCGTTTTTCTTTGTTCTGAGTGCTCTCGGCTTTCGTGAGTTTCTGATTTTCTTCTATGGCTCACGGCTTTTTTCTCCCCCTGCTACTCACGACTTTTGCAATATAAATCCTATCCAATGAGTCCTATTGCAAATCAATTTCCAGCCCTCTTATGCTACGTTTTTTTGCTTTTCCCAAATAATTCCAAGTGGCCTGGCCAATCCAATTAATTGCACCACTCACGTGAGTTTGAGCTGCGTGTATAGAGTTTAGAATTCTCAATTAATCCTCTCCCACCATTGCATCACGTGGCTACCATGTTTGTAATTGGGTTTTATTTCAAAAACTTCTTCTAAACATGTGTTTGGGCCATAAATAATTTGGTATTGGGAATCCAATCTTTTGCGAACACTCCTCCAATGCCCCAGATCCACAAAATACTCCATTGAACTGAAAATAAATATAAAAACATCAATGTGTATGAGTCCATTCAAATAATAAATAAGTCGAAAAATATAAACGTGCGAATAAATTGAGTATATAAAAATACACTATTAAACATATAAAATAAGCACATTTTCCGACCTATCAATTATTAATATTTGTAATTTGTAATTTGGATTTCCTTGCTTTAGATATTAAATTATTAATATTTAATCTATTATTTTGGTGAACTTAAATTAGTATTGCTTATGTTAAACTATACTTAAAATAGTGATTATTCAGCTCTTAGATAAAAAAATGTCATTATATGCTATAAAATTAATGATAAAAATATATACAATTATATATTATATATATAAAATAAATAAATAAATTATATATTAATTAAACTGTTCGACCACTGGTCCGACCAGTGAACCATTGAACCAGTAGCTTCACCGGTTCGATGACCGGTCCGGTTTTCAAAACATTGGTTCTTTCCCTATTTCTGTATTTAATTTTAAATTCCTTTTTTTGGGTGCAGATGTCATTAGCCCGGAAGTTCTTCGTAGGAAAGACATGGCGGCAATGTATTCGTGGTCTTGCAATGGGTGAGCCTTTCGATTTTGCGCTATGTTTGTTAATTTATTTTTTAATTTTGTTCATTTTATTTTATTTTTGGAATTTTGGGAGCAGGATCTACAGAAATGGATTTGTGTGACCCGATTTGCTGTAGAACAACTCATCTTCCAGGATTTATTCTTTCGCGTAATTTTGGGAGTATGAGCTACAGAATATGTAATGTCTCAACATCTAACATTTGTTGCTTCTTTACCAAAGCAAAATGTATTTTTTTTTTCTCCTGTGCAATAGTTCAATGCTAATAGCATTATTGTAAATTAAATTACCTATTGAACATATTAATGGTCCTAATTTGTCAATTACCCAGGTGAGTTATCAACCGTCTGGGTGTTGCTCCAGGTTTAGGAGGGAGAGTGCCAGGACCAGGGACAATAACCTCCTTGGGAAATTTGAGTTATCCGAAATCCCGTCGGCTCCCACGGGTGTCCCGCAGATGAATGTGACGTTCGACATCGACGCCAATGGTATCCTGAACGTAACGGAGGAGGACAAAACAGCGGGCGTGAAAAATAAGATAACGATCGCGAACGATAAGGGGAGGCTGGGCAAGGAGGATATTGAGAAGATGGTGAAGGATGCGGAGAGGTATAAGGTAGAGGACGAGGAGGTGAAGAAGAAGGTGGAGGCGAAGAAAGCACTCAAGAACTACGAATACAACATGAGAAGACGGTGGAGTGGCTGGACCGAAACCAATTGGCAGAGGTGGACGAGCTGGAGGAAAGACTGAAGAAGCTGGAGAGAATCTGGATCGGTCGATGGTGCAACCACCGGCCAGGACTACATTGGCCTCAAAATCACGGTCGATGGTGGTTGCACCGGCCGTAAGGATAATTTCGTGTATCAAATTGATGCATATGAAAAATTTGAGGAGAATGGAATCCAACTTAGTAGGATTTTAGAATTGTGTTTGTTGCCTTTTTCTGATGTATTATTGTAGTTGAGGATCAAGTTTTTACTTCATTACATGCCCATTGGTTATCTGAATACTGCAATGAAGGGCTATTTGTGTTGAAATATATGTTTGAACTCATTTTTGATGCAATAATGATATGATATTTTCTTGAAGAAGTAAAAGGGTCTAACTTTTAGTTCACATTTTCATTGCTCACTCTAGAGGTAAAAGAGTCAATGCGATGAATAAGTTGTGTTGCATGATAACAGGAGAATCCTCCCCATCATTTTCATGTCCAATTGCCCTGTGCAAAGTGAAAGCGATTGTCGTTGTCCATACAAAAGAAGCAACCCGGAAGAATTGTGTATTGTAACCCTTAAGCATAATAATTCAAATAGTTGTATATGCTATCCATACAATCACAGTATTTCACATGGTCGAGTGCGTCTGATAGATCATTCTCTGGACACCTTCTCTTTCTATCATGGTCTAGTATTATTAGAAGCTGTCTTTAAATCAACAATAACATGTATTTCACATGAAAATGACACCAATGATAATGATGAATACGAATTGCACTAACATTTACCTAAAAATAAACACACCAAATGACAAACCAATTAGCATGTAAACTTTAACATTAAATCAAATGAAAACTATTTCACAATGTATTTCAGGTAGACAGTGTGAACCAAAAGCAGCCCTTGTCAAACTATGTAATAGAAAAATACAGTGCCACAATTTTGTCCATGATCAACCATTTTGCTAGTCTAGGTATGGATGTTGGTCACTCATCGACGACTTCGAAGTTTTGTCCACCTCATATGTTGCCATCATATTAGCTCCCCAATTAGAAACAAAAGAGGGTGTAAACAATTCCTGTGAGTATGACATCGGAGCAAAGGTGGGAAGATTGGCATGTACCATTGGTTGAATATATGTGGCACTTTCATGTGATTTAGAGGCTTCCTTATTTTTTTTGTTTTGACGAGACCTACATAGTCAAGATATAAGATTAATAAACTAAAATATATAAAATGATGATCTAACATAACCAAATATAAAATTACAATTTACCTTTAATTTCTTAGAAATTTTTTCCAGTGCCCCCTTTTGACGTAATTTTCGAGGAGCTCCTTTTCTTTTCACATGGTTTGGATCAGAAATTTTCAGTCCCAAAATTTTATCCACTCCTCCATTAACTGAATCTACCAATATACTTTGGTGCAAATCAGATTTTCCTTCACTTCTTTGATCCATATTCATTGAATCCAAATCATGAGATACAGACTCGATCCACTCCATAAGCTTACCTGCTCTCACATCATCATTCGCCACCTTGTCGGCCATCGCTGCAAAAGCACTACACAAATGATGATATCGTAATTGACCAGGTATTAAGATCCAACCATTATAATTGATCTTCACCCTTTGGTATGATCTACACACATCTCTCCTCCACCTCCTCAATATATATATGTCAGGAACGGACGTCACATCATTGCGAATCAAAACTGTGATAGCATGTTTGCAAATTATCCCTCGAAACTCAAATAAATGACAGCGACAAACAAAGTTTCCCGATTCCTTTTGAGTTTGAACGATGTAGATTTTTTTATATTTTCTTCCATTGCAAATGACATCCTCCTGAACCATGTGTTTATGTCCCCGTAAAAATTTCTCACATCCATCCTCATTGGACATAATCTCACAATAAACCATACCTGTGAATTGAGATTGAAATTCCTTGAACTTATTGATGGTGTAAATGGCTTGGAATTGTTTTTCTAATTCATACATAGTAGCACATGGAACCATCGCTGAATATGACTTACAATCAGCCTGAATCTCCTTATCCACTTTACTACGTAGTGCCCTCTCGTATTGTTCGACAAATTGCTTCAGTGTTGTTTTAGAATTGACATACCCATCAAAAAATGCATTAATACTCTCACTACGTTGTGTTGTCGACATCCCTACCCAGAAACTCTTCTTCAGAAGACATGGAACCCAACGGTTTCTTTCACTGTAGAGGCTAAGCAACCACTCATTCTCTTGTAGTTCATACGAGTAAACCATATTAATCCAAATTCTTCTGGACTTTGAGATTCATAAACCACTTAATGAACTGTCGACATGATAACACCTTTGTGCAGATGACCGCCAAACTTCTCAGGCAACTTTGTAAGTATATGCCATAAACACCATCTATGTCTCATGTTGGGAAAAAATGTTTGGATTGCATTTTTCATTGCCCTATCTTGGTCAGTTATTATTCCGATGGGAGCTTGTCCCTCCATGCACTCAAGCCATGTTTTAAAAAGCCATATAAAAGTGTTTGTATCCTCACTCGATATTAAGCCGCATCCAAACAACGTGAAATGACCATGGTGGTTAACACCTACGAAAGGGGCAAACGGCATCTCATACTTATTTGTTAAATACGTTGTATCTAACATCACTACATCGCCGAACTCTTTATATGCTTGTCTGCACCTATTATCAGCCCAAAATAAGTTTTTCAACTGAAACTCCTCGTCCAAGTCAATGCTAAAGTAAAAACCCGGACAATTAGCCTGCATTTTAGAAAAGTAAGATTGAATTGCAGCTGCATCCCCTTCTCCGAGTCTCAAACGTCGAACCTTATCAATATAATTTCGGCAGTCCTTCTCAATAAATGACATCTTTTCGTACCCACCAGCTTCTACAATAGCTGAATTAAAGCTTTTATGTAAAGGAATGCCAGCTACATCATTCACCTCAAGTCGTCGTTTAATATTGGCGCTTAACTGTCGATGGCAACGATATAATCTTGATTTGGAGGGACTTATAGCATGATTATGCTCAAGATGGACACCTGTAATTTTCCATATCCCAGTAATGTCAGAACAAGCTGTTAACCAAGCTTCACACCCATTTTTAATGGTGGGTTGTGGTTTGAAAGAAGTAGCAGTTGATTTATTTCTTTGTCCCTCTCGGCTACAAGTAAATGTTGCATTTTTTATGACACCCTCTTTGTCTTTCCTTGAAGTTCTCTTTCTAACAGGAAAACCCACACGAGCGTCATACTTTTTGTAAAATTCAAACACTTTGTCGTAGTTTTCGAACTTCATTCCAATCACTGGCACATGTTCTTCATCTTCATTGGGTAGTCCATCGTGCAATTCAACAACATCCCTTGTAACTATCTCATTACCTTCTAGACACTCATCCTCCACCAACATATTTTTTCTTCCTTCATTGTTGAAATAAGAAACTTCATCGTCTGCATGATGAAATTAATTATTAGATGAAGCAATTTTAAAAAATTGAAAAAAACAACACCATCAAATTAAACCAAAAAAATCAATGAATTAGTGTCTAAAGCTATACACAAAATAATGAATGATATACCCGTGTCATTTGTCATCATCTCCACAAGAAAAAGAATACCAAGTAAACAATTTTTTTCTTCTTTCAGTAGAATGAAATCGTAGAGACTGCGGTGACTTTAACGATCACAGTATTAAGGTCACAATGTCGAATTTAAAATCAAATCCAGAAATAGGGCGAGAACAAAAGCATATGAAGGTGGAATTTGAAATCAAATCAAGAAAGAGAGAAAGAACAAAAGCATATCAAGGTTTTGCTCTCGACTGGACCCAAACGACGACCGACAGCAAATTTTCCCCGATTTTCTCTCTCTTTCGAGGTTTTGTTCTCCCGTGAATTGGTGTTTTCAATCTCGGCGTTAGTATATGGTTGTAAATTGCGAGGTTTTTCACTCGTCAAGGTTTCTGAAAGCTTGTAGTGTAATTTTTTTTTATTTTATATTTATTTTGACACTTTTTCTTTCATTTAATATGTTAAGTTAGTGCTTTCCACGTAAGCAGTTGTCATGAAGGTTGTGAAACTGGATGGTTGAGTAGCATTATTGTTAGGGGAAATGGTATGTAATGGCACAAAACAATCAGTCAACTGTGTGTGTTTACCATAAGTGATAATCCCCCAAAATAGGCGCCACTAAATTGACATATATTCCGTAAAATTTGTGAAGAAAGTCTTAATCAGATTGTTGAAAGATTATTCCGAGAAAAAGAAAATATTCGAGGAGCTCATGCTTGGATATAAAATTTTTTGGTTTTGATTGGATTTTTGGGTTTGGATTGGTTAAATTTGAAAAAGTTGGTATGGTTAGCTGTTAGTGGGTAAATCTATACTAATATAAAAAGGTTGTTGGAAAAATAAATAAATAGTAGTTTTAACTTTTTAATTAAATGTTTGACTTACTATTATAAGAAATGTTTTTAAAAACACTAAATTAGGAAAAAATAAGGAGCAAACCAATTTCATATACTGTTTTTTAGGGGAAAAAAAATGGTATGTATTTCAAAAATGGATGTTCCTTATCCTTTTTCTTTTTTCTTAATTAACCACTTTTCCAATCATTTGGTGAATAAATTTCAAATTAATTTTCTTGGTAAAATTATCGATGCGTCTTTTCCAATGGTTTGTTGAACGATCTCATTTCCCACACAATTTTGAAAAATCCAATTCTCATATTATACTTTCAAAATAATATATTCATCTATTCATAGAAAACTCGATTTTCAAAATGAGATTAGATTTTTAGTGAATAATTCCGATAAGATTTATTTGGTAAAAACACATGAATATACCATGATAATCTGTATTTTTGGTAACATCCTATTTGTGTTTTCATCCAAAAAGTATTTAACAAAATTTGCAACTTTGGAGGAAATATTTTATTTTGAAACATCCATAACATATTTTTATGACATTCAATTTAGGAAAATATAATATTTACTTTTGAGTAAGAATTATTTCTAAAAACGCGTGAATATATCATGATAATCTGTATTTTTGGTAACATCCTATTCGTGTTTTCATAAAAAAAAAAAAATAACAAAATTTGCAATTTTGGAGCCAATAATTTATTTTGAAACATCCATAGCATATTCTTTATGGCATTCAATTTAGGAAAATATATATTTAATTTTTAGTAAGAATAATTACAATTAAATAACGCATCAATACAGTCTTAACTGAAAATGTACAGTAATATCAAAAATAATTTGATATGGGAATGCATCAATACAACCAAAATATAAAAATTTGATCTTTATTTTACATGGCAATATATCATTCCAATATTCACCATAAATAAATGAAAATATGAAAAAATATTATCAAATATACTTATATATTATTTCATGAGAAATTTTAATTTATAAATATTAATAAATATTTCTTACCCGTGCAACGCATGGGATTCGTACTAGTTAAAATAATATTTAAAATAAAATGATTAAAATTAATTTGATGTAAAAGTAAGAGAGAGAAAATGTGATGTGATGGTTAGTTAAAATTATGTGAGTTGATGAATGGTGAATTAAGGTTGATGTTGTGTGTAAGAATGATTGATTGATATTATTTAATTATATTGATAAAATTAATGATAGTGGGGTTAAGTTAAAGTTGAGTTAGAAAAAAAATGGTTGAGTTAAAAATGATTGAATATTTTGGATTGATTTTATATCCAAGCATGCACTTAAGTCTAACTTTTAGGATTTTTATTTTTCAAAGTATTTAAAACCTAACTTTCATTTTCTTAAGATGTCACGGGTCACATTTTTTCAGTTACAGGTTATAATGGTACGGCATCAATCACTATTGACTGCTAAAACATAGGAATTGACCAATTGTCCTTAGTCCTTGACAAATGTTAAATTCATATCCTTTGAATCTTCCTTTCAAAACCGGCTATGAATTATACACATCATCACTGTAATATTAACATTATTTTTTAAAATTTTTAATTAATTAATGATCGATCACTTTCCTCTAAATAATTTTTATTTTGTGTTATTAACAACGTTTTATGGCTAGATGCCCTTGTGAAATTAGTCAACCAAGAAGATTAGGGTTGGCCATTTTGTTTGTTATAAGTTTCATTTTATTTTCAAATTTTATTATAAAATAAATTTTATTTTTTATGAATAAAATAAAATTAAAAAATATGTATGTATGTATGTATATATATATATATATATTAAAACTAATGTAATAGTTAGGAATATCTAACACTATAGATAATTTTATATTTGATAGCATATTATCTGTAGTGTAGCTTATAAATTATGTATAAAAATGAATATAAATAAATTTATTAATATTTTTGACATACCAGCTATTCCCCATATGTAGGTTGTATTTGGTAAGCTAAATAAGCTAGCTTATAGCTTATTTGGTTAGCTTATAAGCTTCTTATATTCAAATAAGCCTCGTTTGGTAGGACAAGTCTTTTTAAAAAGCTCGAGTTTATCTCATAAGCTACTTTAGGTAGCTTTTCAAATAAACTAGTTGAATTTTTTATTTCAGCCAGGTTATCAGCTAATTTTATCCAAACACTTTTATCATATAAGCTAGCTTTTCAGCTATAAGTTCAAAAATTATATATAAGCTATAAGCTAGCTTATCATCTATCAACCAATGTTATCAAAACCGGACCAGACCGGCCGGTTCGGCCGGGAACCGGACCTAGTACCGGTCCGGTTTGAGTGTTTAAACTGCTGGGAACAAGAACCGGTTTCGAACCGTTCGAACCGGTTCAAAACCGGTAAAACCGGTGAACCGGTTCTGAAATTTGAAAAAAAAAAATCTTAATGAAATAAAAAAAAAAATCAAACAAAAGGAAAAGAGTGAGAGAGTATTTTGATGTTTGATGAATTGTAATGTTAGATTGGATATATTTTGATGTTTGATGACTTTGTAGTTTGTCTTTGTAATTTGGATTACCTTACTTTAGATATTGAACTATTAATCTATTGTTTTAGTGAACTTAATTTAGTATTGCTTATGGTAAACTATACTTAAAATATTGATTTATCAACTCTTATTTAGAAAAATATCATTATATGCTATAAAATTAATGATAAAAAGTATATATATATATATAATTATATATTATACATATAAAATAAATAAATAAATTGTATATTAGTTAAACCGGTTCGACCACTGGTCCGACCAGTGAACCATTAAACCAGTAGCTTCACCGGTTCGATGACCGGTCCGGTTTTGATAACATTGCTATCAGCTAGTTTTACCAAACATAGTTGTAGTCGCTTTAAGGCCTCAGTGGCTAACAAATATATTACCTTGGTTATTATTACAACTAGTACTCAATCTTGTTCACATACATATATATGATTAAAATATTATAAATTATATAAATATTATATTTAGAATTATAAATTGTATAATTTAAATATCACACTTTATAAATTTGATCAATAGAAAAAAATGAACAACATTTGTATAAAATATTTTGTTTATAAATAAAACACTATATAAATTGTATAAAATATAATGAATAATTTAATTTTTACAAATGCAAGGGATCAAGACCAATTAGTTGAAAAATATTAATTTAATATAATATAGCAATTAGTTACGTAATTTTAAGTATCTTGCTATGTCAATGTTAAAATAAATTAGTTATTTAAAAAATCATTTAATGATATAAAAAAAGTATATAATTAATTTAGAATAAATATATTGAAGACAAAAAAAAAAATCTATAGGAAGTTATTATAAGTGTGTAACTTCCATAAATCTTTTAGTGTGGATTATAAATAGTTAATATTAATTGTAATTATTATATGATAAGATAGCTAAAAAATATTATTATACTTCATTAATATAAAATATAACAATATAAGTTACACAATAAAATAAATAAAGTGGGCAAATAATCGTATTAGTTGAACAACCTACAATTATATAGGTGTAGACATAGATTTTATGTATGTATTTCTAGAAAATACATATTAAAAATCAATAAAATATGTGCAAAATATAAGCTGAGACAGAATAACGTTACAAAATCGATTCGCTAAAAAGTTTTTAATTTTTTATCATATGTAAACTTATTAGATTCTGAAAACTGTAAATATGTAATTTTGTATATATAAATTAGATCCCTACCTATTTCCAGCTTTTAGTTGGCCGTTGTTTAATTATTTTTTCGCATTTATTCTTGTATTTATATCTTGTATGGATCTTCTGGCACACTCACTAATATGAAAATGAAATATCATAAATATGTTGGAAATCAATATTTCGTCGTGCGGACATATATGATCAAATCAATCAAGAAATCCAGTTCGTGTCAAAATATGCTGCTAAATTAGCAAGCACCAATGAAATGATAAAACGTAAG